CGGGTTGGGCGGGTTTTTTGGTTCAACCCGCAACCCGACCCAACCCGACCCACCTTCAACACTCCAAACCCAATCCAACCAAAAAAAAAGAAAAAACCCAACCCAAACCGGTCGGTTCGGGTTGGGTTGGGTTGGGTTGGGCGGGTTGAGCGGGTTGGACGGTTTTTTGCCCAGCCCTGATGCTGTCACAAAATCTCAAATTACAGTCAATACATAACTTTCCTCATCATTTACGATAATCATTATTTTAAAATTTTTTTTTTATATACTCATTTTCAATTATTATGTACTTAAATCCAATAACCACTGCCCCAAAACTTTGCTTTTGATTTTCAAACAGGGGGCTTAATTTCAAGACACAAGCGGGTTACTGTATCTCCGTATTGATTCAAGAAAATCTCATTTTTCTCACTCCACTCTCTCTCTACGGATCCCTCGCGCTTCTCTCTCTAGAAAACGAGATGTCGCTGCGACGTTCTTTTCTCTCCTCAAAAATCTCCCATCGTTCCTTCAGACTGTCCAAATCCTTTAAAGAATTCAAATCCCCAGATACCCAAATTAGTTTTAATTACAATAACAAAGAAGAAATAGAAACCGCAGAAAAGGGAAATGAGTGTAATAAAGAACAGCAAAACGGCTTCGTTGGTAAGTCGGGTTCGTGGGCAGGTTTGTTGCCGGAGCTGCTGGGGGAGATAATACAGAGAGTGGAGGTGAGCGAGGAGCAATGGCCACAGCGCCAAAACGTTGTTGCATGCGGGTGCGTTTGCAAGCAGTGGAGGAAGGTCACAAAAGATGTGGTCGAGAAGGCGTCCGTTAATCCACAGGCTGCAAAAATTACTTTCCCTTCTTGCCTCAAGAAGGTTGAATTTTTATGTTTTTGGTCTATTTTGAAGTACTTCTGTTTCAAATTAGTGATTTGGGAATTTCGTGGATTTTGATATTAGTGATCTGAGTCTGGTTTGGGAACTGTTGTTCATTTAATAACTATACAGAATTAGGGCATCCGAATTGGAATAGAAATAACTCTCTTCGAATTTGAAATGGTTGTTTATGAATGGAAATTGTTATGTTACCAATTGCTTTTGAGAAATAGCTGTAGCCTGTTAGTCATTTTCTAATTGAACCAACTTTAGTTCATTTGTATTTAATTGATTATTCTATTTTGTATAATTTCATTAGACTTCTTGGAATTAAATGATACATATGCTTGCACATGCCAATAGCGTTCATGGGTAAATATTCAGTAGTGAAAATTGCTGGAGTATTCTGCAGTAGTTGATTAAACAAAAGCATCTGGAGATGTGATTTGGGCAAAAAGATTCGATGGTTATTGATTTTTTTAAGTTTTCTATGTTATTTATGTTCAACGAGTTTCGTTGTTGTTAAAAATGTGTGATATCATTAAAACTTTATCCATGCTGAACTGGGAACTTTAGAAATTATGTTGGTTGATACTTTAAATTTCTTTTATGCTGCAGCCAGGGCCTTGGGAGTCTCCACGTCAGTGTCTTATAAAGCGTGACAAGAAGAATGCTACGTTTTACCTTTATCTAGCTCTTTCACCGTGTAAGTATACCTTTATTGGAAGTTTCCAAGATAACTTTTAACTTGAAATTTGCTTGTGTAACTGATGATATTCAGTCATTTTCTATCTGGTGAATTGACTGTTTGAAAACCTTGAAGTTTAACCTCTATTGTTAGGAGGACCATTAAAAATCTGTTGGGCCATTATTATTAATATCTTATGAGTAGAGACATCATGATTGATGTTTACTAAGTATCTGGACTTGGTCTGTTAATTTTTCTTCACTTCTTGCACTGGCATTAATTGTTCACCTTTCCACTTATTATTTACTTATGCATTGTGTCAAAATCACAGGCTGACTATCTACAAGAACAATCCTTTATTCAATTATTTTAGTTTAATAGCTTCCATCATTCTGAAGCACAGTTATTAAAACCAATGCAATGGGAAAAATTCAAACCTATGCTCCCCTTTGGAATATTGGAAAGCTTGACGACTATGGTATTTGGTGGATGTTAACATCAAATGTAACAGAAATATATATATTCAGTTTTAGCAAAATAATAGATATTTGATTATTAAAATTGCTACAGTAGGAAAGATTTGAGACGCCCCCTTCGAAATTATGGGAAGCTTGACCACTATGGTTTCTGGTAGATGTTAAATTAAATGTAACGGAAATATATATATGTTCAGTTTTAGCAAAGTAATAGATATATTTGAGTTTTATTGCAACCATTGACAATCAATGGTCAACAGTCTCCCGTGCTCACTCGACATCATGGATCCATCACTAGTCAACCTGGATCCATCACTAGTCAAAATGTGGAGTTCTTACTTAATTGTTTCACGCTGTCATTTACTTCTAATAGTGCTCCAGATATTCACAAATCATTTCCTTAAGTCTATATTTTAGTTTTTTTTATATTATCAATATTTTATCCTGAAGTATTTGTACCTTTTACTTTTAAGCTGCATGCAATGACAATAGAAAAGGTATAGGATTCCAAAAAATTGAAAATTTATGATCTAAGGAGAGATAACGGAGGTTTCCTAAGACATAGTATTTTGTTTTTTAAGATTCTAATTCTAAATGATGTTTGGTTCTTGACGTATTACGTACTAGAAGAGGAGAGAATTTAGATGAAGGGTGAGAACAGAGGAGAAAAGGAATAGGAAGAGAATAGACGAAGGGGCTGAGGCGTATAAAAGAGAGGGAGAAATGTGAGAGAGGGGAGAAAATTAGAGAAAAATTATTTGTTTATTCAACTGATTTGTATTGAATATTAACCCTCTTTATAAAGGGCTTTAGTTTAACCTAATTTAAATAGGAAACTAAAAAATAAAATAAATTCTAATTTCATCCCTGAACAAGCTATGTTTTGAAAATTGTCACGTGCATAAATTAATAGAAATGGTCAATTGTCAAAAGTTCTAAGAAGTTATCAAAAATAGATAAATGGATATACACTAAAAATTGACAAAAATAAGTTAATATACTAAATTAATTATATGTAGTTAAAAGTACTCATTAAACTTACATCACTTAATTTTCATATGTTGTCAAATCTAAACCAGCCAGTTCGACCGGGAAAGCCCAGAACTGGCCGAAAACTGGTTCTGTTTTCACTTAAAACTGCTCTAATTAAAAATCGTTAAAAACTGGCCTGTCCCCACAGCAAACTGGTTGACCTGGTGATGGAGATACAAATAGAGATATAGTTTAGATAAAAGTGTAAAATAGAATTTAATTCTAATTATGATTGTTTAGATTGGATAAGTTTTAATATTTTGATAAAATTTTAGTTTAGTAGAAGTTCATTTATTTTTAGCTTCCTTTAGATTATTTGTTTTATAAATAAAGAGCTTATTCATTGTAATTGTCAACACCTGAAATATATGAATAATATAATTTCCTTTGCCATAAATTCTTTTGTTCTTTACACTCCTTTTCTTTCTTGTTCGGTGTCAAATATATGCTCCTTCGTCATGTGGGACTAGTTTTGCTGGTTTGTTTTTCTAAGGAATAAATGAAAAACTTTAAACTTCTAGAGCCCAATAATGGATGGAGTAAAAGGTCCAAAAAGGTATAGTTTCCTACCCTATTGCCCCGCACCTTTTATTGTATGCTTCCTCAATTTTCCTGCACTGAATTCCGATGCCCAATTATATAATAAGCATAAAATTTAAAATTCCAGTTACCATCTTTTCTTCATCATTTATATGCACATATATTACTTAAATTATTCTTGCACTGATCGTTGTGTGCTATTGTTAATTGTTATATGAAAAAAAAATCTATACAAAAATTAAATCCCAAAATAATTGATACTTCAAACTTAATTTCTTTTTTCATTTCAGTTCACTCTTTTCTCATTTCCCTTTGACAGCACAGTGAAACCCTATACATTTATTCAAGCAATTCAATTGAAACTTTATATTTGTTATCTAAATTTCTATCAATACTAGTAATGGTCATAGCTAATTGAATTTAACTAAGTTTAATGAGTGCTTTTATCTCTATATATAGATTAATTTAGAAAATTAAGCCCATTTTTGTCAATGTTCTGTGGTATATTTATTTAATTTTGATAACGGATTCAACCTTGGTTCGACATTCCTTGGTCGGTTTCCTAAACCTAGTAATTTTCGTTGTCACTTCTATTATCAATAGAAAATGAGACGACAAATATAGCAAAAGCTTCAGCATATCATGTATCACTTATATTTTATATTGCGTTTTAGTGTGTTGTTAAAATGAAGTAAAATGAGAGAGAGTGAATTAGAATGAAAAAACAAATCAAGTTCAAGAAATTATTTGATTGAAATTATTTATTTTGAGAATTTTTTAATACAATTTTTTCAAATAACAATAGCACAAAATGATAAATCATGAGAATAATATATGTACAACATATGTAATCCTGTACCAAATAATGAACAAGAGATGGTAGTTGGATCTTTGCTCCTTTTATATTCCCACTGCGAAATTCAGTGCAAGAAACTAAGAAAGCAAACTGTGCTGGCCAATGGGTAGAAAACTCGGCCTCTTTTGGCCTTTTACTCCATTAGTCATTGGGCTCTATAAGTTCTCTCTCTTTTTTTTAGAGAAAAGCAAACTGGTTCTGAGTTAGCCGGTTTGCTGTTGGCTGGTTTTTAATTAGCGCGGTTTTAACTTTTAAGCAAAACATTAGAAAATAAGAATCCAAATTTGGCAAGCCTTCAATATGTCTTCGCTAGGGATCTCCATCTGTGCTTCGTGTTCTCCCATACAGGATAAATAAAATAGTAACGAAAAGGAATCAAATGTTGATATATTAAAAATATTGATTGTTCTAAACCATAATAATTTGGCAGTCTAGTATGCTGATTAAAAAACTAGACGTACTAATTGTTATATAGCTTTGAGATTAACATTGGGATTATATAGTCTATGATTGCAATTTTCCTTAACGACCACATAGATTAATAAGGACAGTCGAGGGACTGTTTTACCTAATACCTCTATATTTATCATGGATTTTCCTTTTGTTTGGCTCTTTTATGATTTCATGATCTATGCTCAGACGTCTTCCACTATTTATGACAGCATTTATGGATGAAGGGAAGTTCCTCTTAGCAGCACGAAGATACAGGAATGGTACTCACATCGAGTACATTATATCACTCGATGCTAGCGATATATCACAAGGAAGTAATGCCTATGTCGGAAAATTAAGGTAAGAATTTGATAGGCCCCCGATTAAATATACTTATTCTAGAAGAGTCAAGAAGAATGTAGGAGGGGGCAGTAACAAATTTAGTTAGACGTGCAGGTGAGGTTGAGCAAAGTTGTTTCAAGGGGATCTATAAATAGAATAAGAGTTCTGATGATCGGCATGAAAAAGATCAGTGAGGAGAAATACCTTGAGGAGAGTTTCAGCCCTCTCGAACGGCTGCTTGTTGTCTTTCATTGTAATTCCATTTCTATCCAATTAAATACAGAGATCTTTCCTGTCTTACTCATTCTGTGTCTCTTAAATTCAGCTAGACCCTATCAAACTGGTATCAGAGAGAGGTTAAACACCACCAACAACCATGACTCTGGCAGAACGCATGGCCGAATTGGAGCAAAAAGGAGAGAACCGTTACCAAGAACTTCAGGCAGGAATGGAGTCACTCAGATCAGAGGTCAAACTGTTGCAGACCGGAATAACAGAGATACTGAAACGCGACAGGGATTCACATGAGAAGGATCGAAAAGAGAAGGAAGACGCCACGGGGAAATCACCAATGGTGCCTGTTGATTCTGGGGTAAATCATTTAATACCCAGCAGCAGCCAAAACAATGAAGGAGGTTCGGGTGGTGACGGGAGAAGAGAGTTCCGCATACGACGTTTGGAGATGCCCGTTTTTGAAGGAGGCGATCCAGATGGTTGGGTGTTTCGGGTGGAGAGATACTTCAATGTCAATGGGCTAACGGAGGAAGAGAAGATAGAGGCTGCCGCCATCTGTTTAGACGGCGAGGCACTAGCTTGGTACCAATGGGAGGAGAAGCGCAAATCTATGAAAAATTGGGAGGAGGTGAAGGCCCAGTTGTTGCGGCGGTTTCGATCCTCATAGGAAGGTCCACTATGCGCCCAATTTTTGTCCCTCCGACAGGGTTCTACGGTCAGGGAATATCGCCGGCAGTTTGAGAGCTTAGCATCTCCCGACTGCGATTTCTGTAGAGGTAATGGAATGTAATTTCCTTAATGGGCTCAAGCCAGAAATTAGGGCAGAGGTCCAATTGTTGAGGCCAGTGGGCCTAGATCAGATTATAGAGGTGGCCCAAATGGTTGAGGACGGAAACTCAATTACTCATCTAGCCTTTTGGAATGTTAGCCCAAACAAACCCAAAAGTATCCCATATAGCAGTCCAAATCCTCCCCAACCCACCTCTCACCAAAATAGAAACACGGTACCTGTAAACCTTACCCCCCATCGCCCTAATTTCTCTCCCAGAAATCCCACGACATTCAAACGCCTCACAGATGCTGAAATTCAAGCCAAAAAAGAGAAGGGCTTATGCTACCGATGTGATGATAAGTTTACAATCAGTCACAAATGCCGGAATAAAGAGCTACAGGTCTTAGTGATCCGTGAGTTGGAGAAGAACGATTCCCGAACTGAAACGGTGATGTCGAGCGAGTGGGACCCAGGTGATGGCGAGGACGATGGAGTGTTGGATTCGGCTAGAAATGAGGCTGTGTGTCCGGGTCAGCCAGTCGAGCTATCAATCAATTCTGTGGTAGGTCTCACAGCTCCAGGCACTATGAAATTGAAGGGAATGCTCGGTCCAAAGGAGGTAGTGGTACTAGTGTATAGCGGGGCATCACACAATTTTATTTCAGCGGATTTGGTTCAACAGTTGGTTTTTTCCCTATCAGGCACTACGAGCTATGGAGTGGTAATGGGCACATGCTTAACAGTAAGAGGGGAAGGTATATGTCGACGGGTGTCCTTGAAGCTGCCGGGACTGTTGGTAGAAGAGGACTTCTTACCCTTGGAATTGGGCAGCTCAGATGTTATCCTGGGAATACAGTGGCTAAGGACATTAGGTAAAATGCAAGTGGATTAGAAGACTCTGACCATGTCTTTCGACATCGGAGGTACAAAGGTTACTCTGCAGGGGGACCCGAGCCTCAGCAAAATTCCTGTTTCATTGAAATCGATGTGGAAAGCTTTCAGGGAACAAGGAGAGGGCCTCCTATTAGAGTTGGGGAATATGACCGTCAGCTCTGACTCCACCTCACTCCCTCCATCGAAGATCATTACTGGAGTTCTGGAGGAGATCAAATTGGTCTTCGACCATCCCACACAGTTGCCTCATAAAAGAGGTCATGATCACGCAATCATACAGAAGACTGGGGCGGAACCGGTCAGCGTGAAGGGAGAAGAGAGTTCCGCATACGACGTTTGGAGATGCCCGTTTTTGAAGGAGGCGATCCAGATGGTTGGGTGTTTCGGGTGGAGAGATACTTCAATGTCAATCGGCTAACGGAGGAAGAGAAGATGGAGGCTGCCGCCATCTGTTTAGACGGCGAGGTGCTAGCTTGGTACCAATGGGAGGAGAAGCGCAAATCTATGAAAAATTGGGAGGAGGTGAAGGCCCAGTTGTTGAGGCGATTTCGACCCTCACAGGAAGGTCCACTATGCGCCCAATTTTTGTCCCTCCGACAAGGTTCTACGGTCAGGGAATATCGCCGGCGGTTTGAGAGCTTAGCATCTCCCCTGACTGCAATTTCTGAAGAGGTAATGGAATGTAATTTCCTTAATGGGCTCAAGCCAGAAATTAGGGCAGAGGTCCAATTGCTGAGGCCAGTGGGCCTAGATCAGATTATGGAAGTGGCCCAAATGGTTGAGGACAGAAACTCAATTACTCATCCAGCCTTTTGGAATGTTAGCCCAAACAAACCCAAAAGTATCCCATATAGCAGTCCAAATCCTCCCCAACCCACTTCTCACCAAAATAGAAACACGGTACCTATAAACCTCACCCCCCATCGCCCTAATTTCTCTCCCAGAAATTCCACGACATTCAAACGCCTCACAGATGCTGAAATTCAAGCCAAAAAAGAGAAGGGTTTATGCTACCGATGTGATGATAAGTTTACAATCGGTCACAAATGCCGGAATAAAGAGCTACAGGTCTTAGTGATCCGGGAGTTGGAGAAGAACGATTCTCGAACTGAAACGGTGACATCGAGCGAGTGGGACCCAGGTGATGGCGAGGACGATGGAGTGCCGGATTCGGCTGGAAATGAGGCTGTGTGTCCGGGCCAGCCAGTCGAGCTATCAATCAACTCTGTGGTAGGTCTCACTGCTCCAGGCACTATGAAATTGAAGGGAATGCTCGGTCCAAAGGAGGTAGTGGTACTAGTGGATAGCGGGGCATCACACAATTTTATTTCGGCGGATTTGGTTCAACAGTTGGGTTTTTCCCTATCAGGCACTACGAGCTATGGAGTGGTAATGGGCACAGGCTTAACAGTAAAAGGGGAAGGTATATGTCGACGGGTGCCCTTGAAGCTGCCAGGACTGTTGGTAGAAGAGGACTTCCTACCCTTGGAATTGGGCAGCTCAGATGTTATCCTGGGAATACAGTGGCTAAGGACATTAGGTAAAATGCAAGTGGATTGGAAGTCTCTGACCATGTCTTTCGACGTCGGAGGTATCAAGGTTACTCTGCAGGGGGACCCGAGCCTCAGCAAAATTCCTGTTTCATTGAAATCGATGTGGAAAGCTTTCAGGGAACAAGGAGAGGGCCTCCTATTAGAGTTGGGGAATATGACCGTCAGCCCTGACTCCACCCCACTCCCTCCATCGAAGGTCATTACTGGAGTTCTGGAGGAGTTCAAATTGGTCTTCGAACATCCCACACAGTTGCCTCCTAAAAGAGGTCATGATCACGCAATCATACTGAAGACTGGGGCGGAACCGGTCAGCGTGAGACCCTACCGTTATCCACACTTCCAGAAAAATGAAATCGAACAGTTGGTAAAAGAGATGCTGGCGGCAGGAATTATACAACACAGTACCAGCCCTTTTTCGAGCCCCGTACTCTTGGTAAGAAAGAAGGATGGGAGTTGGCGATTTTGCGTGGATTACCGGGCTTTAAACAAAGTCACCGTTCCCGATAAGTTTCCGATTCCAGTAATTGATGAGTTACTGGATGAGCTGAATGGAGCTACGGTGTTCTCGAAGATCGATCTCAAGTCTGGATATCACCAGATTCGGGTAAGGGCGGAAGATGTTTTGAAAACCGCTTTTCGAACTCACGAAGGCCACTATGAGTTCCTAGTCATGCCCTTCGGCTTGACTAACGCCCCAGCCACTTTTCAATCCTTAATGAATTCTATCTTCAGAGAGCAGCTTCGGAAGTATGTGTTGGTCTTCTTTGACGACATTTTGGTCTATAGTCGCACCGTGCTGGAGCATCGAGATCATTTGCAGAATGTCCTATAGATTTTATTGGAGAACCAGCTATTTGTGAACGGAAAGAAATGCTCATTTGGACAAACCGACATAGAGTATCTAGGGCACATAATTTCGGCAACTGGGGTAGCAGCGGATGACTCCAAGTTGTCAGCTATGAGGGACTGGCCACGACCCGGGGCATTAAAGGAACTGAGGGGATTCTTGGGGTTAACTGGATATTACCGGCGATTTGTGGAAGCCTATGGGAAGATGGCTTGGCCGCTTACTCAACAACTAAAGAAGGATTGCTTCGGATGGAATGAAGTAGCGGAGGCTGCCTTCAGGAACTTGAAGGACGCAATGACAAAAGTGCCAGTGTTGGCTCTCCCAGATTTTTCGCAGCCTTTCGTAATTGAGACGGATGCTTCGGGGCATGGCTTAGGGGCTGTCCTAATGCAGAATCAGAGGCCCATTGCCTATTTCAGTCAAGTCCTTCCACCAAGAAGCCAGAAGAAGTCCATATACGAACGGGAGCTCATGGCTATTGTACTAGCGGTTCAGAAACGGAGGCATTACTTGCTGGGAAGACGATTTGTGGTTAGGACAGATCAGAAGAGCCTTAAGTTCCTCCTTGAGCAACGCTTGATAAATGTTTTAGTATCAAAAATGGTTAACAAAGCTGTTGTGTTTTGACTTGGTTATCGAATACAAGCCGGGGCTAGAGAATAAAGCAGCAGATGCACTGTCACGGAAGGGGCCAGGGGTTTCCTTAATGGCTCTCAGCATATCGTATCCTTTACAGCTGGAAGAAATCATAAAGGCCGTCGAGGAGGATCCTGATCTGTGCCGGATTATGTCTGCCTTAAAGGCTGATCCCGCTTCTTGTCCGGGTTATACCCTCGTAAACAGGGCCTTGCTGTATAAAGACCGTATGGCCCTACCCAAAGATTCTCCATTCAGGGCATTGGCATTGCATGAAGGCCACGACAGTAAGGTGGGCGGTCATGGGGGTTTCCTCAAGACATACAAAAGGGTGGCGGAGACTTTCCACTGGGTTGGTATGAAGAAAGATATCAGGGAGTATGTCTCCGCTTGTGAAGTATGTCAACAGCAGAAATACTCTACCTTGGCACCTGCAGGGTTACTACAGCCACTTCCGGTACCGAAGAAGGTATGGGAGGATGTTTCTATGGACTTCATAGAGGGATTACCGAGGTCAGAAGGCTTCGATTCCATTCTAGTAGTAGTTGACCGCTTGAGTAAGTACGGCCACTTTATCGGCTTAAAACACCCATTCACTGCACCCTCAATAGCTGCAGTATTTATAAAAGAAGTGGTTCGACTGCATGGGATACCTAAATCAATCATATCTGACAAGGATAAGGTTTTTGTGAGCAAATTTTGGAGTGAGCTGTTTCGTCTACAGGGAACCAAACTGAGGCTCAGTTCAGCCTATCATCCTCAAACCGACGGCCAAACCGAAGTGGTAAATAGAGGAATCGAGACCTACCTACGCTGTTTAACTTCAGCCAGGCCAAAAGATTGGTTCCGCTTCCTTCCTTGGGCAGAGCTGTCTTACAACACTTCCTTTCATGTGTCTGCTCAACTAACGCCCTACCGTATAGTCTATGGAAGGGACCCTCCTCCCCTGTTGCGTTTTGAGAAGGGGAGTACACCCGTTTCTTCTCTGGACCAGCAATTGACAGAACGGGATCAGCTTTTGGACGAGCTCAAGCTACACCTAGCTCGAGCACAACAGTAGATGAAGAACTCAGCTGATAAACACCGAAGGGCAGTGGAATTCTCAGCAGGAGACATGGTTTATCTTAAAATGCGCCCCTATCGTCGTAGATCCCTGGCACGTCGCATCAATGAGAAACTTGCTCCACGATACTACGGACCATTTAAGGTCCTAGCTAGGGTGGGGAAGGTAGCTTATCGGCTGGAGCTGCCACCTGAGACACAAATCCATCCGGTGTTTCATGTATCGCAATTGCGTAAGGCAGTAGGGGAACATCATTTATCTGTGAACCTGCCTATCAGTTTGGGTGCAGACTGGGAACTACTGGTGGAACCAGAGGCGGTGCTTGGAATCAGGGCTGCTGCTCAGGAAACATCTGAGGGTTGGGAGGTGCTGATTCAGTGGAAAGGATTGCCCCCACTTGAAGCTACTTGGGAACCCTTCCAGCTCATTAATCACCAGTTTCCTTCCTTCCACCTTGAGGACAAGGTGGCTGAATTCGGGGGGGTAGTTGATAGGCCCCCGATTAAATATACTTATTCTAGAAGAGTCAAGAAGAATGTAGGAGGAGGGGGCAGTAACAAATTCAATTAGACGTGCAGGTGAGGTTGAGCAAAGTTGTTTCAAGGGGATCTATAAATAGAATAAGAGTTCTGATGATCAGCATGAAAAAGATCAGTGAGGAGAAATACCTTGAGGAGAGTTTCAGCCCTCTCGAACGGCTGCTTGTTGTCTTTCATTGTAATTCCATTTCTATCCAATTAAATACAGAGATCTTTCCTGTCTTACTCATTTGTGGCAAAAAAAACCATTATGTTACTTTCTCTTTACTCCAACATGATTGATCCTACTTTTATTGTAATTATCGAAGCTTTTGCTAGATCTTACGGCGAAAGGTTGACAACAACTTATGATTTCATGTTTTTTGAAAGGTACTTGTGCCCATTTGGTAGTGCTTCTGCTTCTTATAGAAATGTTTTCTCAAAAAGCTCTTTTAACTAGATAGGGAAGGCACTTCCAGAAAATTAATCAAACAGACTCAAAAGCAGCTTCCTAGTCCCAGAAGCAGTTTTTGGCGTTTCAAAAGTCTTGCTAAACAGGTGCTTTCCTTTTAAGATGGAGATGTGACTGATGATTATAATTTGTGTGGTCCTTTGAATGAAATTTCTAGTTGATTTTTTTTGTTTGTAGTCTGTTGACTGTTGGATGGAACTGATGGAGATGTATTTCTTCAAGGGTACATCAGTTGCATTTCCTTGTAATTATTGTTTCACAATTTTCTGCTTTCTCTTAAGGCTTTGCATGTCAATTTATTTTGGTTACATAAAAATTCTATCGTTGAAATTTTATTTCCTTTCGTCTTTGAGACATTCAGCAAATTGTGTTTTTCCCTTGTGACAGGTCGGATTTCCTTGGCACTAATTTTTCAATCTATGATAGCCAACCGCCACATAGTGGAGCACAGCCTTCAAGCAGTAGAGCTGGTCGTCGTTTTGCAAGCAAACAGATAAGTCCCCAAGTTCCAGCTGGTAATTTTGAAATTGGGCAGGTGTCCTACAAGTTTAACCTCTTGAAATCAAGAGGCCCAAGGAGAATGGCGTGCTCACTTAAGTGCCAAATGTCAGAAGAAATGGCAGTGGACAAATCTCAAGTTAATTTAAGAATGAAGAAACCCGAGTCCTCAAATGTCGGATACACAGTTTTAAAGAACAAAGCTCCAAGGTGGCATGAACACTTGGAATGTTGGTGCTTGAATTTCCATGGTAGAGTGACGGTTGCATCAGTCAAGAACTTTCAACTTGTTGCAACAATTGATCAAAGTCAGCCGAGTGGAAAAGGTGATGAGGAAACAGTACTTCTCCAGTTTGGGAAGGTAGGAGGTGATACCTTCACAATGGACTATATGCAACCTTTGTCGGCTTTTCAGGCATTTGCTATTTGCCTAACCAGTTTTGGAACAAAACTGGCATGCGAGTAATTTATAACTGTTTATCCAGGAACCTGTTAGCTTTTATATATTTGAGAGAATTTTTTACTTTCGCTGTATCTGAATGATCTCATTTGGTTGATGGAAGTATTTGATGTACAGTATGTATTGTACTATTTCAGTTTGAATTATAGCAAACATGTTCCTGGTTCTTGTACAAGTTCCATGGGCAACAAAGGATATTCCAAATTCAGAACACCACCACATGTCACCTCCAATGTCTGATTGACAGACTTCTTTCATGAAAGGAGAAACAACATTATTGCGATGTACAACCATGAGATGAGGGGAATCCTCATATTTTCACTCGAAAAACATCCCCTATTCAAAAGGAAAGCCAAATCCATAATCCATAGTTGCAGCAGATGCGACATCAGTTAAAAACAAAGAAAAGATGTTCATGTACACCACCACTTTTTTAGGACTCAAAAACAACATTGCAAGCAAATTTTTAGACTCTACTTGCTGCTTGTTTTATTTCTTTCCTCGCAGTTTCACGCCAAGGGCCCTTTCCAGTTTTGAAATAATCTGCTGGTTTGGAATTGCCTTTCCAGATTCATATTCCTGGATGATTTGGGGCTTCTCATTTATCATCTGAAGTCAAGGATTACAAGCAACAATGAATTTCATGTCCTATGAGTGTTAAGTTTGATGATTCATTTGTATGCTACCAAGGGCTGTAAAACAGACCTGAGCAAGCTGAGCCTGGGTCAATTTCTTGTCCAATCGAGCCTGCATGATGGCTTTCTTCAGTTCACTGGGCACCTTTTCATCTGAGACAAAATGGAAAATATTAAATGGGACGTGAAGGCAGGTCAATAATGAAATGATTAAATAATACAAACCAAACTGCATATGCCTAGAACTTTGACTAATAATTACTTTAGACAGAAGAGCCATGAAAAATGAAATCATGCTGCCTTAGAGTTGGCTCAAAACCAAAACCACAAAATGACAAACAACAAACAATATAGAATACACCAGATCCATTAAAAAGTAAAAATTATATCGAACAACTGGAACAGGAAACAAGTGCATGTAACAGGCCACAAGTTTGATTAGTAGATTATCAACCAATACTCAATAGTAATAAATTGGATCAGGGTAAACCTAGTGCTGAAAAATGAAAAAGGTTTTCTGACAACATATCAGAAAATTTTCCTACGGAGCAGTCTCTGTCAAACAGTAACTGAGAAGCTAATTAACAACCGATTGACAACATTTAATAATCTTTTCAACAATGCATTCAAAGAAAAAAAAAGTTTCCCGAATTTTGACAAGCATTAATTGAAGCATTTATATGCTGAAATAGTGACCCAACCATTAAAAAAAAAAAGTTTTAATCAGAATTCTGTAAGGAAATAGCTCAGTCCACCTACCCCACTCCAAGGCAGTTGGTAAAAGAGGAAATGAAAAGGTTCCCTAGGTGATTAGAAAGAAATTTAAGTAGGTACAACAAAACTTAAAAAGAATATATTTATCTACAATTCAATCAACGAAGGACCAAATAATTCAAGTTGCCTTGTTGCTAAGGGACAAAGCGGAGAGAGTGTTCTTAGAAATAAATTGCAAATCATGACAAGGGAGAGGGATATCCAGCTAAACTTGTGTCCATATAGATGGCAAAAGAAGGATGATTACTTGAGAAAACATCTGCAAGTCTGCTGTTCTTCAAATAGAATGAGAAACTAAATCATAAAAAGGAAGTCTAGTATAAAGGAAGCAATTTCATAGGTTCACTCATTTTTACTGATTTTTGTTATCTTCTCTGACAAATATAGGATAAGTGATGTTTCCAGATAAAAATGAAAAAGACTTCATAAATATTATGGAAATGAGGGAGTATGATCTTACCCAAAGGACGAAGCATGCACGTGACTTAACAATGCAAATTTTTATTTCATAACACAACCATATAAAGGTTCTGAAAAAATACAAACGATTTCAACTTACGAGCCAAATTTTCTGTCTCTTCATCGAGCTTTCTGGTGTTCAACGTGGCGCTGCTTGAGGCAGCCTTGTTTGTCCCCGCATTAGCTGCGGGAAAGAGAATAAATGTTAGAAGCAGCAAACAAAGCTAGATCTATACAAAGGTCATCAACACTTCCTTAAACATCTAGACAAACAGTAGATAAGGGAAAACGAGAACTCAAAAAAGGATTTTGATTTTTGGAGGACAAAAGAGTAACCCTGGTAACTCGTCTACAGATGATAATGATATAATTTACTTTTGTTTTTGCATAGAACACAAACTGGGCTGACATCAACACGATTGACAGCCCAAAAAAGAGATGTTAGCATTTGTCCTGTTAGATATTTTAAGCTGAAGGTTTCCTTCTGGAGGATCCTAAAAACATGTTCAACGCTGCATTGAATCTGCCCTCTCACAATATATAATTGAGAACATAACAGGCATTTGATTTTTCCATGGAACACAAACTGGATCAACATCAACATGATTGCCAATCCAGTAAAGTAGGGTAGAAGAAATAAAAAGCTAGAAGCTTTCTTGGATTGAGAAAGCAGGGATGAAAGATCGGAGCTCTACCAACTGAATCTGATAGAGAACTATACATTAGCGAAAAAATAGAAATATCCCTGGGATAATAATTCCAATTGTTAGAATCATAGGCTTGAAGTTATCCATCGTCCTGGTAGTCTTCTTTTTTTCATATTTACCGCAGGAATATCCATGCATGATATAATCTGCTCTAGTTATTAGCGAAGATTCAATTAAGAAAACAGAAACAAATGATATGTATTTTGTAATAAAAGGAAAAAATAGATATAAAAGACAGACAACCGCGACCACTTGAAATAGAGAAAATACAAAAGTTTTTAGTTTGCAGCAACCCCAGGTTAACAAGACCTTTATTTAAACTAATCCTCTGCTCTGTGACTTAGATTTAGGGGCCGTAAGAAATAAAAAACCTTCCCATCACTATGAATTTTTTTATTCACAAAGTGCAATTTCTAGGCTCCAATTACATGTAGCGAAACCCTATTATACCATGATTTTTAATCAAACCTTAACTTAATATATTGAAATTATTAGTGACCAGGACTAAACTATTTCGACAATTAGAATCTTACCTGAAGCTAAATAGGTTGACCTGAAAAGAGGTTAGACAATATTCATCCGTGGAAGAAAAAATATTCTCATGAATAAAGCATACATACAAAGGAATGAATTAAAGAAGAAAAGAATCGCAACCCTAGCCGAACAAACTAAAGCATATATACACAGTCATATTATCATATGTGTACGCAATACAGAAAGATGATCTGAAAGATCCGATGAAAAAAAAAACCTTTGAAAACGTCAATCAATTTACTTCGTACACATACACATCCAGCGAACAAAAAAAAATCATTAAAAAATCGCACAGAACAATATAGTAATTTTCCGTCAAAAAAACAGTATGTAATGGCGCACAATATACTCAAAAACTTACATTTCCTGACGGTTTCTATCTCAGCGCCGGCGCGACGGGCGGCGTTGACGGCTTTTTCATCCTTGCGGGCGGCGGCAGTAGGGGCCTTCTTGCGGATCACCACTGGCTCCCAATCCTGTGATATTCCTGACATTTCTTCCTTTATTTTTCTCTGATGAAAAAAATTACGTGCTCGTTGCGTGTGGATACCGGTGGATTGTGCAAGGGGACGAAAGGACCCTTGGCTTATATATGGTAGGGATTTGGGGGAGTGTTTGGTTACGGGATTATGTTGCAAGTCGAAATGGAATATCTTCGTTCTTATCCGGAAACAATTACAGGTGGGGTCCTTGATGTATTGAAAATATAGCAAGTAGATCCAGACCTAATATATTCGGTCAATAGTTCTTTAAATTTCCCTTTTGACTAAGCCCTTTACATGAAAATTAATATCAAATTTTTAGTAATTTTGATATGCCTAAAAAGTTACTAATCTTATGAAGTGTGTATTTAAAATTAATTATTGAATTGATTTGAAATTTTAATTCTAACTAAACATGGACTAAATCTAGTATATTAAAAGTAATCTAACCTCATCTGAATACATTGGCCCGTGACTGATTCGAGTGATATCCCCATCTAAGAATTAGAACCCAGTGAGAGGAGTCTCGACTTGGAAGGGGAAAATAGTCGAGACCCATCAAGCGAACAATTTCAAAAATATCTTCTTAACGTGATTGTTTTGCGAGAAGAGCTTATGTTTCTTCAAAGTCAATGCAACATAAGTTGATGTACCGAAATATGACATCCTTCACATAATACATATGCCATGTTTGAATTACATTATTTTTTTTATTTTCATTCTTCTACTCATTTTCAACCACACATTCTTCAATAAAATAATATTTTTCATCACATCAATAACTTTTCCTTCATTTTTAACCACATATTTTTCATCACATCACTTCAAAAAAATGCATTATGAGAGGAGTCTCGACTTGGAAGGGGAAAATAGTCGAGACCCATCAAGCGAACAATTTCAAAAATATCTTCTTAACGTGATTGTTTTGCGAGAAGAGCTTATGTTTCTTCAAAGTCAATGCAACGTAAGTTGATGTACCGAAATATGACATCCTTCACATAATAAATACATAGGCCATGTTTGAATTACATTATTTTTTTTATTTTCATTCTTCTACTTATTTTTAACCACATATTCTTCAATAAAATAATATTTTTCATCACATCAATAAATTTTTTTTATTTTTCAACCATATGTTTCTTAAATTCTTTTTCCAAAAATGTACACCAAACGGGGGCATAGATTGAAAATTTTGACTCCTTTAGACCGATAAACTTAACGAGCGTTCATTTTTTACAGTTTATAACCAAAAAAAAAAAAAAAGTTATTTCCGTTTAGTTATTTTTAGTTTTTTTGATTTTCTCATATTAGCCAAACTTGCCCAAAATTCCGATCAACGCCATGTCCTAAATCGGTAAATCCTTCTATCAATGTCTCGTCGCTTACACACGACGGATCTCGGCTGTATGGCCTGCGATGCCTTAACCGATCTCGGCGCCGGTAAGGAAGGCTGGCTCGTCGACAATCCCGATCTTCTAATTTCCCTCGACACCCACTCAGTAGCACTTGCCAATCGCTCCCTAATTCTCATCCTTCATTGGTCATCCTCTAACAATGGCGGGCCTGACCCCGACAATAACCGGGTCGTCAAGATTCGACCCGACCTCTCCCCAATTGAACCTGAGTTAATCTCCGCTGTCGAGTGGCTCGTCTTCGATGATGACGTCAGCAGAGTGCTAGCCGTTGGAACCTCATGTGGCTACCTTTTGATTTATTCTCTCCGTGGCACTCTCATTCACAAACAGGTTGGCAGTTTTGAACGTGTATCATTATGTTTTTTTAATCGTGTTTCTATTTTCTGTATGGAATTTGGTAAAGTTTGGATCTTTAATTTGATTATGGGTGATTCTTGGTAATGATTTGTATTTGATTTCGTGAATGAATGGCTGGTGACTGACTTAACTGACTTTGATATTTGTTTACTCATATCGATAGTATATTGAGACTAACTGTAGTTCTAATTGCTGAGCATCCTCAATTGTTATTATTACCCGCCTACAAGTTCTAATGAAAGAATTTTTTAATGGCTGGTCGTAATTTGCAGATCGTGAACCCAGGAAAGATTCTAAAGTTGAGGGTCCGTGGAACTAAGAAAGATTTAACAGAAGATACATCATCAGAAGAGGTTTGCGTTGTAATGCCAGGCGTAATTGCTCGGTTTGAAGGATCTGACATTCAGGTATATGATAGCTATTACTTACCTATGTAATTTTCAGCAGATTAATTCACTTGGCATATTGGTATCATGATTTTAGCACTAAAAGATTGAACTATATCCTAGATCACCCTTTTCAGCTTTTTTTCTTCTTTACTCACTTCAGTACATATTTTCCCATAAGTTCTGATATTTTCCTAAACTCTGATATGTATCCTCGATGAGATGTAGAATATGCTGCAACGATGGTTTCAAGGGACAGATTCTCAGTATTGGAATGATTCTTTTGATAAGATGGATCCGGATGATTCTGGAATTACAAGGCTCCCTTACCAGCTGTGGAATGTTAGCAAATATGGACCATGTTCAGATGCTGCTATTACTGGTGTAATGCCCCCACCTCTGATGGAAATCCAGGTAGTTATAAACTCAAGATTTTCTCTATGCAGAGTTTAGAGTATTAATGAACAATGCTCATCGATTAAGACTGTTAAAACTTTTAAACAATGTTACTATTTTATTTGAAGCTTTAGCATTTTATTTTTTTTTAATCTTTTAGAGCTTTATATCCACTTTCTTTTTTTAACTCTTACTGCCCATTTATTCTTTTGCTTTCTTGCTTTCCATATTCCTCCCTGCTGTGAATAACGGCTTTGTATTTATGTTCAAATTCTTTGATCCAGTGACTTTTGCAAGTTTCTGAATTAATTCTGGTATTTGAATTCAGTTGCTTTTATTGTTGGGCAGTCAAGTCAACATTACTATTGTGCAGTCACTATTGGAGATGATGCCGTAATTTCAGCATTTAGGTTGGTGTGGTGAGCTTTTTGGTTGCATAATTTCCATAGAATCCCTCTCCCCGTAAAATATTTTCTGTTCTCACTATCTATAACTTCTACATTTTCCAATTTTTGTCCTCCTTCCTTGATCTTTCATTTCATATTTCAAGACTTTCAGAGGACAAGAGCAGATCACTAGTGGGGGCTATTCTGTCAAAAGTTGTACCAGCAACATTTTCGACAATTGCTTCATTTTCGAAATTGATATGGCGTAGTGAACAAAAGCCAACAAAAAAGCCAGAGGCGAAGGCTCAACCATTTGCTCGAGGTGACATAATTGCTTCTAATTGTTATATTGTTTTCAAATTAACACCCTCCTAGTTCTTAGTGCATTTTTCCTGTCGAATTTCTGAAGAGAGACAATTCTAATTTCTAAGTCAAAATGTAGGTATACATTATTAATACTTCTAGTGATTAGATTTTGTCCATCAAAGATGCTGACACGCTTGCGCTACAAACTAAAAACTTGCATTTCATGACAGCCTCTCCACTGACTTGTTTGAAGGATCACCCAAGGAAGGGTGAGAAGCTCACATTGTCGCCTACTGGTACTTTGGCTGCAATAACTGATTCACTTGGACGAATTTTGTTGTTAGACACCCAAGCTCTTGTGGTGGTGCGCTTATGGAAGGTTTGTGATGCATATGCTATTTATTTATTTGAGGCATCTATGATATACTTTGTTTCTCTTGCAGGGATATCGTGATGCGAACTGCCTATTTGTGGAGATGCTTGTCAATAAAGATACTGCAGCTTCACATTCTGCTTATTATGGGTACTCAAAGAGTGATTATTGCCTTTGTCTAGCTATCCATGCACCTCGGAAAGGAATAGTTGAGGTACTATTCTCTTGCATGATGGCACACCTTATTTGAAAAGTTTAGTCTGCACAAGCACTGTCACAGTGAAAAGAAATGCTTAGAATCATGTTTTTTCTGGTGTTTGATTATGCCTTGAAATAATGATAATCAATACTCAGCATTCGCTTAAGTTGCTAATATCTGCTCTTATCTGATGGATGATGTGGTATTGCGTTTACGAGCATCTCCAAAAGACTCTATTTTTTAAAGAGCGTATTTTGCAATTTAGAGAGTAAAAATTTTTAGTTACTCCAACATGCTCTCTATATTTAATACTTAATTTTACTACTTCCATTAAATATTTATTGTTTTTCTTTATCTTTTATTTTCACTAGCTTTCCTTTAAATTTTTAAATTGTTTTTCTCCATTGAAAATTGAAATATTTTGAATGCATGTAATTATAGATAGTGGGTTTGTCAAACTTGTTCTCTATTTTAAAATGTTAATTTAAAGAGTATCTTCTGCTGAATGGTGTTAAAATAACATGGTTTCTTGCAGGTTTGGCAGATGAGGACAGGACCTCGACTTTTAACCATACCATGTCCTAGAGGTAGCAAAATACTACAACCAACGTACAGATTTAATTCGGCAACGACATCATCATCATCACATATACCTTTGGAAGTATTCTTTCTGAATGGAGACTCTGGGCAAATATCCGTTCTCAATCGAACCCTTGATTGACCTTACTCTTGTGCAAAATGCTTTCTTCTGATTTCGTTGAAGTTAGCTGGTTGGAAACGCAGATGCATGTTCTAGTTCGTGTACAATGAGGCAAATGTATGTCAATAAAGTGCGACACATGGGAAATTTAACTGTCTTGTTCTCCGATTTTCATAATGTCTTATATTATTTATATCCTCTAGCTATTCTATATTTTTGCGTGGATGAATTAATTTATTACGGCAGGATAGTAGATTCTTGCCCTCTCTTTTCCTCCGTTTCATTTCTTTCCTTTTTGTTGGGAACAAAAATATGTTTCATCAACCTCATTTTCAATCAAACATTTTTTTCACTCGTTTTGAAATTGAGCAGAAATTACCAATATTCAGAACTACACAACACATCAGAAATTAAGCAAGTAGCAAAGCAGAACGCTCCTTTCAATATTGAGCAGAAATTAACATCAATTCATAATTGAGATCTGTTGTCCAATTTATGTTCACCCAATTAATCATTGATGCATTATTTTAGATTAACATGTCATCAATTTAGTGGGTCAATGGTGAAGTTAATGAGGATAAATTTGAAATGACTTGTTGAATAGATAGCAAATATCAATTCATTCATAACTACATAATACATATGTCAGCAATTAACAAAACAGAACGGTCAACAACATATTGAAATAAATAAAATCTGAAAAAGGAATTCAAACGCAAATGACCCTTTATCTAGTATTTGAACGACTAGCAATGTTCAAGTCAAACAAACAGATCTTCGGTTTGTTAATTTTGGACATCGATAATTTACAATTGTAGAATTGCAATTGCCCGACAACCTGGCAAGGAATATCATAGAGCACATTAATATATTTAGTGCTTAGTTTTAGTAGTCTTTTTATAAATAAAAGGAGATTATACTATTATGTTAACTAAATATTCTTTTCCCCTTTAAAAGGATAAATTATGCAATAGAGTAGTCAAACAATCACAAATTTAAATCCTTCGTGCAGCACTTGGCTTGGCTAGGCTAGCAGACGAATGATCAACTCAAGTGCATTAACCAATGAGAAACATAAGAAGCATAGTTATAATCTCCAAATAAATACGTACCTCAAAACAGTTTATTTATGTTGCTGGTATTATTTGAGCAATAGTAACAAGACTACTCAAGAGTAGCCATATTTGATCCCTCTTTGTAACAGGAAACACAGAAAATACAACACTCAAAGAGATGCAAAATTTTTTTGACGTCTTTAACATTAGAATTGGAATTGGTTTAGCCATTTCAACTCTGGTTGGCAAAAGTGATACCCTTTTCAATAGAGGATTTCAACTCGGGTTTAAGAGCTTCTAGTCCTTGTTGCTCGAAATCAGAAAGTGGGCCCAAGCCTAGGACTTCTTCAACACCATTCTTCCCAAGCCTCACCTGGAAGCACAAACAAGACAATTTTCATAATTACTAATTGGTAATGAGCTAACAACCAGAACCTTATATGCAGAATTGTGGATTATATATTGGCAATTGTTTTGAGAACAATTCGTGCCCATATAAAATCAAGCAGGCCAACCTGAATTAGAAAATATGAACGACTTACAGTATACACGAGGTTTAATAACCAATGATCAGTTAAATTCGATATCCTCAATTAAGCTTAGGAAATGCTATATGTATGTAGCCAGCCAACAACGCAGACAACATGGCTTCACACATCATCACAATGTGCTGATATAAGGCTTTGCAAGAAGGCTCGCATGTGATAATTGTTCAACGAGTCAAGTGGAGTGACTCATTCAAAAAAAATTACAACTCAAAAGATGTGGACCCGTGATAACCAGAGGTTTTATCCATTAACAATCATTGTTCTCATATAGCCAAGCAAGTGTTCACATCTTACTGATGAACCAAAAAAGTAAGGTTGTGGTTCTATTACCTTGGATGCGAAAAATGGTAGCTCAGTGACTGTTGACTGCACAAATGAGCACTCAACAACATCTGGGACCCCATTAAGTCCCTTCAAGCAGGCATCAGCAAATATGGCCCCAGCATAACTGCATAAAAATCAGTGCTTCGTCAGGACTATTTAATCAAATTTGACAAGTCATTAGCACGAAATCACAGGTAACACCCAGCATCAAATTCAATGGCAGATTTTGACATTCATCCCAGTATAAAATTATCTGTTATGACCGAACAATTGGAAAAATCTTTACTACAGCGTAGGTCCAGTTTGTCATGCATCTGGATGATGCACACATCAAGGCACACACCAATCAAGAAATAAAAGGAAATTGATGTGCCATAGTAGCACATGGAGTTTTGTGTGTATACTGTACAATGTACATAGAATAGCATAGGCAACTAAGTCATCTAGGATTTAGAAATAGCCTCTTCCTTTCAAATCTGATCTTCAGTCTCAAAACCACTAGTTGACCAAATACCATGCACCAAAAATTCAATAGAAAAAATAGAATAGTTGATACTTACGCCATTGATAGCGTAGCTGAACCCTTTCCTGCCTTAGCTTCAACAACTTCCGTCCCACCATCTTGAGTTCGTTTCGTGAGAGCTTTAATCTCCTCATCCGGTAAATTGGCTCTTGGTGTGGCCTATTATCAAACATTCAACCATATATTATATGTCTAAATGAAGCGCACTGTTGCCAACTTGAAAAAATAAGACAATATAACAAGCAAAAAAAAAAAAAGATCAGTACCTGTGAAAACAAAGGGAGAATGGTTATGCCAGCATGCCCACCAACAACGGGTACATTGACCTCTGCAAGAAAGAGGCAGAAAATTTAGGCAGTGACCAGAAATTTCAATATGAAAATATAATTCAAGATTAATTGACTGAACAAGTAAATATATATACACACACCTGCCACATTGACTTTGGCCTTGCCAGCGTAGAATGTCTTGGCCCTAACGACATCAAGTGTGGTCACACCAAACAGTTTCTTCTCATCGTAGGTTCCTGCTTTCTTGAAAACCTCAGCAGCAATTGGGACAGTGGAGTTCACAGGGTTGCTAATCATATTGACAAGCGCCTGATTTTGGAGAAAGTAGCAAAAATATATTTATGGAACATTTCAGTAAAGAGAAGCCATGGAAAATCCAACAACTTGAAAGCAGGAAGACTCACATTGGGGCAATACTTGGAGATTGCAGTGCAAAGAGATTTAACAATTCCAGCATTGATGTTGAAGAGATCATCACGAGTCATGCCAGGCTTTCTGGGTACACCAGCTGGAATGATGACAATGTCAGATCCCTCCAGAGCCTGCCCCAGCTGTTCTTCTCCCATGTACCCAGCAACCTATATAAGATTCAAGAAAATAGGTGTTTTATACTTCATGACCACAGATAATAAGTGAAAAAACATGCAGTACACTGAAGAAAAAAAGATCACATCTTCATAGATTATGAAGCTGTTGGAATGAGACATGAAGATCAAGTATATGTGTAGCATGAAACTTAGAGGAACAAACCTCAAAACAACAGAAATAACAACCAAAAATTCAATACTGCAAAAATCATAATGACCATAATGGAATTTAGAATGTGAGATCGAGGAAAAAATGACATCTATGATTGAAATATCCCTGCACATTTCACAAACAATTCACTTGTGAGTTTAATTTACTGTTTGATACTGGAGAAAACACAAGCAAGCTAGTTTTCTTGAAAAACAATTTTAGAATTATGTTTCCTCCACAAACTCAGGTGGTGGTGTTGAAAATTTTCCAATCCAAATTAAATGAAAATGAAATTCGATGTTAGTATTCGATATGGAAATTACTATGAATCAAGATCATGGGGATCATTTAATTAGTCATCTAAGCTTCCATATTAAATCTAGAGAAACCGTATCTGTTTCGAATGTGACTCTCTGAATAGACACATACCAAATTTTTAATGAGAGATCATTTCTCATGAGTAAATGTATTGGACATCTTGAAGAAACACAAAAAGTATATAACTACTTTGTCATTTCAAATATTGAAAGTAATGGATAAATGGACTTCTTCTTTGTCCACACCACACCCTGATGTCTCCCTACTTCTTTGGTAGTGTAATCAACCATTTTCAACTGTTGCAATTGGTATTAAAATTAAGAGAGCCAACAGAAACAAAGAAATAGCACAAAATTGAAAAAAAGCAAATCACACTTTGATCCAAAACCTAAAAGTGAGAGAGAGGATATGGCAAGTAGTCCAAAACCCTAAACAGATACAAATGAAACTCCATATAAACAGAAATAAGGAATAATTTCACTAGACACGGAAATTGATGTGTGTGTGTATATATATATATATATATATATAAGAAGAAGCTGAAAACCCATATTCATTAGGAACGTGTCCATGTATGGGCATGTTTTTCGGGAGTATTGGAACTGTATTAAGGAAGAAGAATAAGTTGAAATATTGTTCATTATATAGTTTAGTCTCAAATTTTGAACTGATGACNGAGAGAGAGAGAGAGAGACCTCAGATCTGGTGTTGATGTGGCTGACGTCAGCGGCGACGCCAGGAGTCCCGGCAATATCGTAGAGAGCGAGCTTGGAGACGAGAGGATTAAGCTTCATAAGCAGAGCCAACGGTTGTCCGATCCCGCCGGCAGCTCCCAAAACTGCAACTTTTCGCTCGGGCGCAGAGTCCGATGAGAAGCCGCGCCGCATTACGTGGGATGCCGATGGGGCAGTGGTGGAGCAGCTCCTCTTGAATACAGATCTCAACATAGCTGCCTTCATTTTCAGCTTTTCTTCTCTAATCTAGTTGTGGTTTTTAGATAGAAACTGTATAGTATATAAATGAAAAGGCGAAAATGAATTTTATATGGTAGGGATTGTGAATTTGGAGTACTCCGGTTTTTACTTTTATTTTCAATATTTTGAAAATTGATCCAAATATATAGAGGATAGAACCAAAAAGATGAAAAATCAAGAGTCAGCGAACAAACCCGTGATAGGACGGACCGTTATACCTCTTGCGTGATCTAAACCGGACCAATTTCTGGTGCAGGTTTCAAAGTTCCAGTTGAATTGACCAACCGATTCGATTAAACATATCCAGTGTTTGTTTGGTAGGAATTTTTG